TGGACATGCTGCAAATCAGTTTTCCATTGGGGAAAATATAATTACCATTATTATCAAATATTTTATTACACACATAAGTTGCAACGACAATATCTTATAATATTGTTCTTACAGTAGGTTTAAGTAACTCTTGTATTAAGAAGAATCAAAGTTGCCCGTCTTTCTTGTCTTACAGTACTGATGTCTTTCCACAGAATGTAAGGTTTAGCTACAAGGTGTTTAAGGTTAGCAAAGCACAAACTAATTGAAATGTAAATGACCCCCCATCCCACATTTAACACACAAACAAATAATATTTTTTAGTGCAAGCAAACTTTTTTGTAGCCTCTAACCCTTTCTACTCACGCCACTTTGTAACTGCAATTCTTTGTATCTGTAATCTTATAATCTTGCAAAAACATAGAAAGTATTGTACCAGTTAGTAAGTCTTAGCCTAACCAGATACGAACTGAATTTCCTTTTGCACACAGGTACATATTTTCAATTAAATATAGTAATTCATGCCAATACCATAAACACATAAAAAATACTCTTATCTTTTTGAGTCTTTGGGTTTGGGATATGCACTGTACATCACTGCAAAATAAAGGAGTTCGTTTATGAGTCAGCTGGGTCCATAATAATAGTATTTCCATCTGCCCTGCTGGTACACTGCTGTTGTACTGCTTTCAAAGGAGATATATTATAGGTGTGAGTGTCTTTGTCTTTGTGGTAGTAAACAGTAAAAAGAATATAATGAACCCATGTGCATTTGTATTTGAAAAGCTTCACAACATTTCCTGAATCGGAGTGGGACTTCAAACCCCTGGGTTTGGTGTAAACCTGACACAAAGATCTGAGCTGGTCTAAAGACTGAAAGAGTGAGAATGACAAAAGGAAAGTAATTTTTGAATAGGACACTTAATTTAACTCTCCCATGATCACGCTCATGATCTTTGCATTGTTTTGTTAGCTGAGATTATAAACATTTGGCTGTGTGCACACTCATAAGTGTCTCGCTTGTTCAATCCCTTGAAATCTAACTTTACTAGTAAAGTATATTAAGGTATAGGAACAAGACTGTATTCATAAACTCATTGTGAGATTTAATGTGTAACTGACATCTAGTTGCACTATCCTTATCACATGTGTTCTTATTTACTTTAATTTACTTAACTTTTAAAATGTGCTTTTTGAATCAGAAACTAACTCTAGTCTGTAAGGGGGAAGTCCTCCTTCACTGTCTGTTGTCACCTCACTCACCGCATTCACTGTTTTAAAATAGATTGCTTAGAGAATGGACGGGTTGTTCCAGATCATGAATCGCACCTAAATTCATTCTGGGTGCTAGATCAACAGAAGTTAAATGGTGTCAAAGTTTTCCACTGTTTTATTCATTTTTATGAAAGTAACTGCTGGGTCTGCATTACAACAGGCCCGCTAGTTCAGACTTGAAGAAAGCAAGATAGAGCAGCGATCGATCGGTTTTACTTGCTAGCAAGGGAAGGATCTCAGAGCAGCCTTTCTGCCCTTGATGTCAGACCACTCCAAAGAACATCACCCCACTGCAGCCTTTTATTGTGCGACACACA